GCCGCAGCCGCTACGATTAATGGAATTAGAATGCGTGCCACGTCCCAAAAAGGGATCAACGAGCAAGACTCTATCCTCTATCCTTTGATAATGTTCGAGGAGGCGTTTGTGGGGCATTCTGTGCAAGAATGGAATCACCGTAAAGGATACGAGGACTTCTGCCTGACCCTAAAGGTCGAAGAGCAGTGGCAGGTAAACCAATCTCAGGTAGCGTTACTCTGTGACAGTTTCAAGCACCTTGAAGATGAGAAGGACCTTCGTTTTCACGGGAACTCCCCGAATGCACCCCTCAGAGTTCAGCACCATATTTTTTAATTGGCCACTCAACCACAAAGTCGTGCCCACCTCATTGTGTTCCTCGGCTACGTGACTGAGTAGATGTTGAGCCAAGGCGAATGGCCGCAAGCAGTGGGGACAACAGCGACGATTATCGTGTTCCATCAAATGGACGTTCAGTTGAAATTGATTCACTAGTACCTAAAAATATCCCATGACGTCACACACTTTTTTTATCCACTGATGTCATCCCAGTAGCTATGTTCACTGATCACCGCGTTCCGTACCTTCCCACAAATGCCGCACGTCTGCTCGCCGTCCTCGGTGTCCGATCGTCTGTGCATATGGAACTGGCAATGGAGCACGAGCTGTGTTTCACTGCGTATTGATTGCCTTGAAAGGATTAGAAATAATTCAATGGTGAAGTCCACGCTGATCGTGTGGGCGGAACCAGACGTACTAGTAGACTTTGCTCACTGGAACGCCCTTCCTCTTCACCGTCCTGGGAGAGGTTGCGCACCAATGAGAAAGGGTCATGGCAGTCTGATTTAGCCTGAGCACAGTCTGTGCCATAAGGAACTCTTCCTAGCATTTGTGGGCTATACCTGCAAACTGCACAGTGCATATAAAGATCAGTGGTGTGCATTCTGGTGTGTTTCTCGAAATCTTCTGGAGTTTTCAGAGGAGCTTGACATGCAGCGCAGGCATCTGCTCGAGGTACCTGAAAAAAGTCTGTCTAAATATGATAGAAATAATTCAGTGAACACGATTCTCCCGTAATGTATGTCACGGCGATGTATCTCACGTCATAGGTGTACCCAAAGCGCGATGTATTATAACTCTGGTATTACCCAAATTGGTCAAAAGAGAGAAAAACTGCGACGCTAGTGCACAAGTGAAACGGGATACGAAAAAGGAAAGGCGTGCTGTACGATAGATATTACGGAAAAGTTATGAGAGAAGAAGGCTGGCATATTTCGAGCTAGGCGGAGTTACTCGGACTATTGAGCCTTTCTCATTGGTGCACCCTTTTCCGTTGTCATCTAACAATTATGTGGCTAAAGCCCATTAATGAAAAAGGCGCATTAGTCAAGGCGACACAGCTCCTAAAAACAGCGAAAAGTTGGCTTTTATGGCTATATGGTTTGATTTTCCTCTATGATTAACGTATCTCGGTAACCTATATGCAAGCGCCGTCCGAGCTCATTGCCGCGTAAAGCTTTCTGGATAAACCCCCGAAAGTCCTTATTACTGCCTCATAATTGTGGGAGCCGTTTACGGGTTTTTACGATCGCCTAGGGCACGACTAGTTGTGTCTAAACGCAGTAAATGATTGTGCTTCCGTTCATTTATGCCCGCCCAATTATGCTGACTACCTCCTAGACATCTTGCGCGTTGTGGAGCCCACTTTCAAAGATATCTCATGCAACGGGTCAGGCTTGGATAAACTTTGGGTGATCGTCTACCTAAACCACCTAGCACCGGAATTTCCTTACGCTAGCTCTCCTTAAAGGCAAAGCCCGCGATCAGTTGCCATCTTAGATAGTGAATTTGGGCTTCGCATAAAGAGGACAAGGTTCAGAGTAACTCAATAGTGAAGAAAAAAGCAGAAAAAACATGCCCAATGTCCTAAATAGGACCCCATTACAATCCTGGTTTGTACGTGCATGCGATGGGGAAACAGCGCTTATGGACGAGCGTTCCACGTTATTGGCTCGCTGCCAGAAATAGGTGTGGCGCCACGTATGAAAGACTGACCTTTAATATTCTTATTTTTTCAGTGAACTCATCGCATCATAATGTTTCTTTGTTGTTTTTGAGTTTGTTTTGCTTTTCAAATTCAAAATGATGCTATTTTCCTTCCAACTTTTCGTGCACTTTGCAATACATACTTTTTGCAATACATTTCCAGTTGTACCCCTTTGTGCGCTCAGCTGACCCAATACAACCCTACGTCCGTACAAATAACGAAGGGGCTCAAATGTTCATGCTTTTCTCGTCCGAAAACTTGGTTTCTCACTAAAGGGCGGCGCTTGGGAGGCGGAGTCACTGGAAAAAAGGAGGAACCACTGGATCTATTCTGCCTTATAGCGCCACGGTACAGGGTTGTTCGTCGCGGACCGCACTACCCTCCCCACACCATATTTTCAACTTCGATACCTGATCGCGGACCGTTTCTTTAAATAGGGGCATCTCCTGTCACTGGAGAGAATTTTTTCGAAACGACTCCTCCCTCAAAATTCCTCCTCTGGTGCGCACGCAATATTTGCTGGCATTTTTCGAAAGTCTTCCATTTCTTACCATCCCCCCCCCCCTCCTCCCTGGGAGAGGGTGATGAGGAGGAGATTTGGGAAGGTCGCCACCCAGCCGCACACTAAGTTCATGTATCGATTCAACTGTTGAAAATGGTAGTTGAAAAGAACGTCCGCTGCACCACCACCTAGGGAGTGTATGCGGTTATATCAGGCTAAAAACAACCACACACTCCCCAAGCAACCGAATACGGCCCCGATGGAGATTTTCCAGTGCACGACAGACTCTGCTTGAAGTGCGATCCGGCCAGCACGGAGGGAAGAAACATTCTTCTCAGAAACGGACAAGAAAGACTCCGTAATGCAACGAGGGACTGCTAGTGTACTCCATGCGCAAATCTAAGTTACTTTGATGTAGGCGTTGTACGCTTGAGGTTCTGCTCGGCTTGTACGTTTTAGTCCTCTGACTAACCCCTTGGTGGGAACAGCGGGCTTTATCCTTACACTTTGAGCGTAGGGTCGTGACCGTGAGGCGTCCTTCGCTGGGAACCACCAACGGGATCAATTGGCCGTTGAGGGAGATATCGAATTTGGCTTAGGAAAAATTAATTGGTCATTCTTCATATTTCACTCTCGCTATATATTTGGCTAGTCGGCGACCCCACAGAAGTACTTTTCTGATAGTTCATACGAGGTATTTACCGTCGCCCCTATCCCTTTCGATTTATCGGAAAGCGCGGTAAGGTGATT